GGATAAAGTGTGCACCACCACTCCTGGCTCAATCACTTAAAAATTTTAAATCCTTTCTGTCCCCCGGAGAGCCCAAAAAAGGGTAGGTGACCCAGTTTGGTTTGAGCATGGCTTGGTGCTTCTGACCTAATACCAAAATTCTGTCCAGCACACAGGAGGCAGAAGCAGGAGTTCAAGGCCAGCCTGATCTACAGAGCTAGTTCCAGGACAGGCTCCAAAGCTACACAGAGAAAACCAGTCTCAAAAAAGCAAGGAAAAAAAAAAATTCTCAACACACCAGCAATAAAGATCAGTAAGCAGATTCTATTCCTATTCCAGACTGCAACAGTAAGTCTTTGAAATACCTAGATATTCTAAAACAAAAATGGAACTAGTTATTCAAGGCTAATGTAGGGGGTTCTACACCAATTAACATTCTCTTTTTCAAAGAAAGCACCCAATCTGTAAGTACAGGTATGTTCACAAAGGGAGAGGGGCCTAAGTGACAAAGTAAAACCTATGCAGTTTGGGTGGTATTGTCGTTTTGTTTTTGTATATTTTTGACAGGGTCTCTCACTCTATAGCTTGGGCTGGCCTTGACAGAGCTCAGTTTTTAGAGGTTGAAACCCCTGAATAAACCTATGGCCCCTAATCCTGTGAATACAAAAGTGTGCATGTGAGAGGGATGAGGGGCCTCCTCAAAAGTTCTTTCCCAGGGAGGGCTTGTCACCAGCACAAATCCCAACAAAGACAAAACAAAATGAAACAAAGCAGCTCACAGCCATAAAAGTCTGGTGATCAGAGTTCAATCCCTAGAACCCACATAACGGTGGATGAGAACCGAGGTCGTGGTAGTCCTCTACACACAGGTACACAAGGGCGTCTGTACAAGCACACAGACATGCAGCTTAACTGCCTGGGTATAGTGGGCACACACATTTAAGCCGAGGCAGAAGGACCTGTGAGTTTGAGGCCAAGCATGGCTACACAACAAGTTCAGGCTCATATAGTGAGACCCTGTCTCAAAACAAAACAAGCAAACACAGCTTAAGCACCCTTCCTAAGGAAAAGCAGACTGCAAACACAGAATGACCCACTGAGATTTTATAGCTGCCAGTTTGGTATTCCCAAGAAACACTTCCAGTTAGTTTAAGTTTATTATAAATTCAGAAGCCAACTTTTATTCTCTGTCTTAAAAAAATAACCCACAACTTGACCTACTATTTAATTGCTAGCATAAAACCATCTTAAGAGGACTAATTACAAAATTTATATACATTCTTAGAACAGTTCCAGTAAAAAGCAAGAATGTACTTCCCTCTGACTTTAAAGAATCAGGAAGCAGGATATGGCACCAGCATACACAAGTGAGGTGACAAGACACCAGGAAGCCCTAGATCACTACAAGTCCTGTGAAGACAGCCCCACCCAGTTTGTATGTGCTGTCCAACCATGTTTTAGAGCCACAGAAATTCAAAAATAAAATTAACTATTTTAGGTGAAAATGAAACATCCAGTCCAAGAAATTAAAACTGACTTAAGAATTTGTGCTCAGGCAGAGAAAGGTAGAGGCAGGTGGATCTCTGTAAGTTCGAGGCCAGCCAGGTCAACAGAGCAAGCTTCAAGACAGCTACACAGAGAAAACCTGTCTTGGGGAAAAAAAAAAAAAGTTGTTTGGGGCTGGAGAGATGGCTCAGTAGTTAAGAGAACTGACAGCTCTTACAGAGGACCAGGGTTCAATTCCCAGCAACCATTCAGCAGCTCACAACTGTCTGTTATTCTAGTTTCAGGGGATCTGACACCCTCACATAAGACATACATGCATGCAAAACACTAATATACATAAAATAAAAATAAATAAATCATTAAAAACAAAAGAACTTTTGCTCAGTGAAACCATTTTCATGGAGACCCGTGCTTTTGTTGTATCCTCACAACTACTCTGTATGTGTGACAAGGCACTCTACACACTGGACTAATTCCACGAGGTCCTTAAAAGGCCAGGCATTAACCAGTCTTAGGCATCACCCCACTGTCTAAAGACCTTAAACTGGGAGATTTCACAGTATGTAGGGTTGGTTCCCAGACTATACGCCACCTCCCTCCTCCACCTACAGTTGCTCTCTGCAGCAGGGACTACCCTGGAGAACTCTGCTGATCCAAGAAAACATTTACACAGAATGAAAGAGTGTGCGAGTCACTGGAACGGGAAGGACACAAACAACTGAGTGTCTGTGGCTAGGGGCAGGGAAGGAGAGCAATCCCAGCCCCTATTCATTTACGAAAGAATCTGGCAGATGAACCAGAACAGCAGACTGGTAGAATGTTGAGAAAAGGCTGCCCAAGGCAAAGACAGTTCAAAGAGGCTTTCAAACAGCTACTTAACATCCATCTTATGGGCTTTATTTAAATTTGATGAGAAGGCCTACAAAACAGTTCTTCCAAGCTTCTAGACCTCCCTCCTGATCTGCTCATTTTGAGAGAAGACAGCAAGCTATGGGGGAAAGCATTACACAAAGTACTGCGCAGCTCTGGCACACACACCCCTCTGCAATGTCAGTCCAGACCAAGGGCGGAACCAGCCCAGAGCAGGCTGAAGGTGCTGTTTGAATCTAGCAGGACACACATAGCATGGAGAGCTCGATTTCTAGTAAAAACAAAACAAAACAAGACAAAAAAAACAAAAACAAAAAAACAAAAAAAAAAAAAGGGGGGGGGAATGATGATATACCACTAAATCTAACTCCTCCACAAAATCCAGTGACTCAACTTTGCCAGGCAACCTGTGAGGAGGTAGGCACTAAGCTACATCAACTGGGCCTAAGAAGTCATAACCAATCTCAACTGAAAGCTGTTCCATCCACCACTGCATGGTGACGGTGTTAAAGACAGTAGGACTGAGAAGCCACATATATAAAGGACATCCATCCCATCCTCCATAAAACAACCAAACAGCCTTGGCAAAAGGAAGTCAGGCCCAGCACTTGAGAGGCTGGGGCATGAGTTCAAGGCCAGCCTGGGCTACCCAGGAAGACTCTTATTTATCTTAGAAACAACAAAATGTCTGGGCCAGCAAGATGGCTCAGGTAGTATTTACTGCTATGCCTGCTGACCTGAGACCAGAGTTCAATCCCTACAACCAACACGGTGAAAGATCTGAACCAACTCCTGACAGTCGTCCTCCAAACTCCACACATGGGCAGTGACATAGTGACACATGGCCCTACCACCACAGAATAATAAATACAAATAAGTAAATAAATAAATAGTTTTTAATTTAAAAAAATGTGCCCGAAGTGGTAGCTAACACCCAGTATCTGGATTGCAGATGCAAATGTTCTGTAAAGTTCAAAGTCAGGTTGTCTACACCGAAAGTTCCAGGCTAGCCATGGCTACATAGCTGAGGCCCTATCTCCAAAAGAGGATGTCAAAGCCTTGTCACAATGAGTTGAATTGTGTTCCCAAGAAGATAGGTAAAAAGTCATAATTTACCAGTACTGTGTCCTTACTTGGAGACAGTCTCTTTGGAGGTGTGAGGTTAAAATGAGGTCCTACTAGACTGGACAGAGTATTGAACTGAATGAGTGGAAGCCTCATAGCATGGCCACATGAAGCCACAGACTTGCTGGGGAAACCAAGTGATAAGGCAAGGAGGAATTAGGTGGCCGAGAGCCAAACACCAAGGACTGTTGATGAGCAGCAGAAGTTAGAACAGAAAGGAGTTTCTCTGGAGTCTTCAGGGGCACTGACTTCTGATTTGGATCAGTTCTTGGGAACTGTGAGAGTAAACTTGTTCTGATGTTTTGTTCAGTTACCCTACAGCCCCTTTCTGTCTCACGGAAAACACCTAACCATCACTTATCACTTGACCAGCCTCTCACTTTGCTTACTTCATTCAGCTCCTATTACTAGCGGCCTAGTCACTGGGCAGCACTGGCTTCTGCCTACTCCCCTAGAATGCATTACTCTCCACACTCTAGGGCCCAACGACTTATGAGCTGGCTGCTCCCTATGCAGAAAGGGTTCTCCCAAACACACTCAAGTTTTGTCTCCTCAATTCTCCCCTTAGGAGTCTGTTCCAGTTACCTTCTCTACCATGTTCCCCTAAACTAAGTTCCAGCATTTACTAACCAGGCCCATAGGCCATGTGTATCCCCACCTCCCACCCCCAACTGTTCCCCACAGAACTTAACATAACCCAATAGATACTTTGCTTTTAATTCTTGAAAGGTTGACCTCCCTCCAAAATGTTGCTCGGTGAGATCAGGAATTCAACTTCTGTATCCCAGTGCCTCTATTTACTGAAGGAACAAATTAACTCCTATTAGAACAAGTGAAACTTCATTCAAAGGTGTACAATAAACCAAGCATGGAGCTGGCCTATCATTCTAGGAGTTGGAGACAGCAGGATTAGTTCAAGGCTATATTCAGCTACATATCAAGTTTCAAGGCCAGCCTGGGCTATCTCAGATCCTGCCTCAAAATAAATAAAAACACGCATTAATTTAGTATGAAGTTGGGCTCTGGGGAGACAGAAGAGAATACATGGACTGCATTTTCTTGGTTAGACTGAAGGGCTTCCCACCAGTCCTTGGTGAGAAGGAAAGACAAGCAATTTTAAAACCCTTACCTATAATTTTTTGTGTAGCCACACCCTTGTAGAAAACAACTAGGCTGCGGAATCTGTGCAGGCAGATCTAAACATAACCCAACCCACTTTTACTTATTCCGGGATGAGAAGGAATTCTAGCAGGAGTGGTTGCGAATACCAATAATCTCATACTCCAAATGTACAAGCTCTCTTCAGAGAATAAATAAAGACAGCTTTGGATCATCAACCGATCAAAGCATTTATTTTACAAAACAAAAGGTAAAGGGCCTTCCCAACCAGCAAGAGCTTTAAGACATCTCTTTCGGAGCAGGGACACATTCTAACTTCTCTCCGGTGGTCCTCGAGGTTCACACACACCCCCCCCCTTTAAAGTTAAAATCAAAGAGGTCGAAAATTAAAATTTTATTACCTTGGTTTTTGGCCTCGAGTTCTGCCAATCCTAGGGATGAATCACAAGACTCCTTGAGAGGCGATCTGATTGGAGTTTCAGCTCCAGGAGTCTCAAAATTACCTTCAGAATCCGAGCTGCCAAGGGGGAAAAATGAGGCATTACCACAGTCAACGGTATTTCCAACTGCCTTTGAAATGTACTTATTCACAGAGGTGCAAGCCCAGCACCTCTGTCTAACTTCACCACCAACGGATCCTCAACCCGGCTAAGTGAGGCCGCAGCAGTTTTTCGGCGATGCTCAGCATCCTAGCTCCCCGAAATCTCTTCTGTCCTCTGGAGCGGCTCATCAGCACCACTTATTTTTGAGGTCATCTTTGCCTTTCACACTCGAAAAGGGGGAGGGGAGACATTTCAATCAACTCCTTTCCTCCCTTTCCTCGGCATAGACCCTTATTCCAGAGGCTTAAAAATCAATACCGCCCAACCCCCAAACTAAGCCAATTCTAGCCATGCCTTGGTTCCTTGGTAGGCCTCTACCTGTCTGAAAGTCACTGGCGGCTGAAAATGCCATCACCTGCCTTCCACAATCACACGTGTGACAGCCCGGCAGAGACCACCATTTCTCACCAGCTGCCAGGGGCCTGTCACCACGCGATCCTCTTTTACCACGGCTGCGTTTTTGAGGACACTGCGGGGCCAAGCAGGGTGGGGGAGCGATTCCCTGCCCACTGCGGGAAAGCTACTAATCCCACCTGGCCTCGTCAACTGACACCAGCCGGGGTATAGACCCTCAGAGAAGGCGAGCCAAGCAAACCAGGATGCGGAGACTGCGGATTCGGGGCTGGGTTCGGGAAGCTCACAGCGAAGACGGGGAACGAAAAGCACAGGGGCAGACAGAACATCCCCAACTTTCGGGTGCACAGCGGGGACCCGGCTGCGGGCAACACGCAGCGGAGCCGGGAGCACGGTTGCGCGCACACAGCATGACCGCGGTGGAGGATGGAGCGCGCCTGCATCTCGGCTGGGATGCGGGGTACTTGCCTGAAGCTCAGGGATTTGGTCTCGGCTTGCGAGTCCTCCTCCTCCTCGGGGTCGCCCTCGGGACCTCCGGCTTCTTCCTCTCCTCCCGCGCCCGCGCCGCGGACAGCGGACCACGTCCACTTGGCCCACTGCACGGGCGACAGGATCTGCCAGGGACTGAACGCCATGAGCGCGGCTGCCGCCCCTGCGGTGGGAACGGCGGCCTCCTTCCTTCAAGATGGAGGGGCCGTGACAGGCGCCGGCAGCGTCGCCGGCGACCCGCGGATGTGGCTCAACGAGCGCCGTCGGGCCGGGCACAGCGCTTCCTCCCACGGCCCGCAGCGCCGCTCGCCCCCGCTCCTCGGGGCCGCCGCGCCACAAGCTCGCCCCCGCGCGCCCCCGCCCGCCCGCCCGTCCGCCTGTCCCCTCCCTCTGTGCGCGCCTTGGCTCGGCTCTGGGGTCGGCTCCCGCCTAGAGCAGCCTCGGCCGCCCCGGAGCCGCGCCCCTGGAGCCGCCCCCTCGGACCGAACTACTGGCGCGGCGCGCGGGGGCCACCGCTTGGAACGCGCTCCCCCCGCCGCGCTGGTCGCGCCCGGCCTCGCTCGGGCAGGGGCTGCGCGACCGCGCTCGCCCTCCCCGCGGGGACCCGCGCCTGCAGCTCGCTGCGCGCCGCCGACGTCCGTTGCCGAGCGTGTGCGCGCTGCTGCGCCTTTCCTCTTCCCCTTTTATCTGTTCTTCCTGCCGCTAGGACTTGATGGCGTGGCTGACGCTGGACCACACAGAAGTTAAGTCCCTTATTAAAAACAAAAACAGAACTCGTAACCTCTGTTGTAGCCGCTCCCTGACTTAGTCATCTCCATCCCCACTACTCCCAGGATTTGGAAGTCCCCCTTCCCCCAAAGCCAAGACAAGAATTGAAGATGCCTTGCCTGCACTAAATCACACTCAAATGGGGACTCTAGAGTGGCCAGAACAGGAATAGAGGATGCGAAATTGCCCTCTGACAAGACAGCCTGAGTGGTTTCCCGTTGTCCTTTCTTCTCATAACTTTAAGGCTTTCTTCAGATAATTTCTAGGTCTTTGGTTACTGATGTCATTTGCCCTTTCAGTACAAAGCCAGCAGGCCTGGTGATTGCAGCCTTCAGGATAAAACCTTTTTCTCTTTGAAGGCGAAGAGAAGAATTTTTTTTCCATCATCTTTGAAGGCTTCAACCAAGGGACTGCTGCAGGCCCTCTCTCCCAGGGAACCCATTGCCTCCAACGGTCAAGCTTGAGACTCTTGGTGCGTCAATAATGTGTTGCTTGTGCTGCTGTCATTTCTCGGAGTCTTGGAGAATCTGTGATGTGGCTACAATTCCCACAGAGAGTGCACCTCCAAAATTCAGGACAAGGTCACGCTGAAACTTGCAGGGCACTGATGGTCTCTGAAAGGGTTTGGCACTGTATATGCTGCTGATGAATCACAAAGGGCTTACATACTCCACAACAAAGCAAATATGTAAGATAAGGCTTGGCAGGCATCCTACCATAATGAAAACATAGGGTGCTTTAGAATCCGTTGCTGCTGCTTCTTGACAGAGATAAACAAGACTGTCAAGAGTGTCATAAGACTTAAAAAAAAAAAAAAGTCGGCAGTTGGTGGTGCACACCTTCCTTAATCCCAGCGCTCAGGAGGCACAGACAGGCAGATCTCTGTGAATTCAAAGCCAACCTGGTCTACAGAGTGAGTACTAAGACAGGCTCCAAAACAATACAGAGAAATCCTGTCTCCAAAAAAAAAAAAAAAAAAAAAAAAAAAAAAAAAAGCAAAAATAAATAAATAAATAAATAAAAAAGGCAGGTCATTTTTGTTTTAGGTCTACAAGAACTATGCCAAACACTATCCAACTGGTGTCTTGGCTTAATGATCACCAAGTAAATCTTCAGATTAGAAATCCCTTAGATGTCTTGGTTTGATACAAGTATACTATTGGCCTGAAAATAATACCCATGTAAGTCAGTACCTGGTCTTGTTCATTCTTCCTCAATAGTACTAGAATATTTTTTCCTTCTCTCCATCCTTGGTGTAACTTACATAGTTCTGCACTTCCTAACCCCTTAAAACTTCAGTTTCTAACTGGCTTTTCCTCAGGTCACCATCAGCAGGGACCTAGACATAACCTTTCTATGCCCAAGAACACCTAGGAGATCATAAAAACACAAGCAGCAGAAGGCCCTGAATTCCATTCCTGGCCCTAAGCAAGGGTGGGAGGGTGCAGATGCAGTGGTTTGTAGACAGTTGCATGTGTATTATAATGTCCTTGAGGAATTGTCAAAAATCTAACAAAGTCAACTACCACTCTTACCCCCAGAACACTTTCTCTTTGCCTGCAGAGCTTTCTATGTCCCTGAAATATACCAGAACCCCAAGTTCCCCCTAAGACCCCTGACCTTGGCTAGCCAAACTTTTCTCATCACCCAGCTCAATGGCCTATTGTGGGAATGCAACTCTACACTTTGTACCATTTTTATACCTGAACAGTCATGAGATCACAGCTGTGACCCTTTGTTGTAAAAGTGGAAAAGGAGTATTCTTAGTAGTGACACCAGGACAACAGGCATAAGCCAAGCCTGTCTCAGGATGTAAGGTCACCCTACACTTAGTACAGCATATGCAACATGTTTATTTGCATGAATACTTTTAAACCATAAAACTCCAGAAACTTAGGACAAGAGCTCATACACAATAGATGGTCAATAAGTTACACAATCAAACACACGAGCTTCCATTTGTCTTTCCAAGTTTGGTAAGCTCCTGGGGACACTATGGCTTAAAGGAGCAAAAAGAGAAGCTCCTTCTCCAGGTGTGGCCCAGTGATAAGACTACTGTGCAGCAGCAGCAGCAGCTCGAGCTGACAGAAGCAGACACCCAAGTTTCCAGAACCCCATCTTGTTCAAGTCTAGGATGTAAACAGCAACAAAGTAGTAACTGGCTCCATAGCCTTTACAGACTGTATGTTACAGTGGTTGAGTAAGTCTGATGTGTCCATTTCCTAAAAAGCTGGAAAAGGCAGACCTCAGCATGGCTGCCGCCCTCTGCCTCACCAAGCACAATGCCTGCAATCACATTACCTCGAAGCCAAGAAACCCATTTGATTTGGAAATGACCTTAAGCTGAGAAAGTGCCCTTCATTCTTTTCCATGGCTTCGTGCCCTTCCCAGAGGCTATGGATCAATATAACATGAAAATATAAAATCTAACTCTCCGGGGCTGGAGATGTTGCTCTGTGGTACAGTAGGTGCTTAGCATGAATGGAGCTCTGGGTTCAATTCCCACTAACAATGATAACTGCTTCAAAGCAGTCTACAAATGACAGCCAGGTAAAGCAGGACATAGCAATCAATTCTACAGAGGGGTCTACACAACGAGTCTCTTTAGTAAAAGTTAAATAAACCAAGTAGGGGCTGGAGGGGTGGCTTGGTGGCTGAAAGCCCCAGGTTCAGTTCCCACCACCTACACAGCTACTTAGAACCGTCCTGAACTCCAGTTCTAGGTACTTGACACCCTCTTCTGGCCAACAAGGGCACCAGGCATGCTAAGTATATGCATGCATACATGCCTGCAAAGCACACATAAACATAAATAAAGAAATCTAAAAATAAACCGGGTAAACAATTTGTGACGGCTTAAGACTCTGCTGGCCCTAATTCTTGTTAGGTTCCACTAAGCCTCAGCATGCCTCAAACCTGAGCTCTTTGTTCTCCTAGAATCCAGTTTTATCTGGAATCCTGCAGGTTCAGTTTAGTGAGAATCTCCACCCTCATTCTCTCACACCAGCCTGCCTTCGATAAGAATCTTGTCAAGTAGGTTTAGCCAGAATCATCCTGTGCCCCCAGAACTTCCTCTTAGTAATTTTTCAGCCAGTGACACCCCACCCCCACCCCTTTCAGTGCAGATCCCCTGCCTATAAATACTCACTTGTCTTTGCGTTTGGGCTTAAACCAGATCTCTCTATTTCACAAAATCCTAGCAGAGTCATCCCTTCTTAAATGAAGTCTTCCGTGTTTAATAAGAGTCACGGCAGACCTCCCGTTAACAAGCAAACCATTTAGTAGTATAGCCACTGTGAGGACAGGGTCGGAGGAGGGGCAGGTAAGGCGAGGCCCTCTCTGTGATCAGCTCTTCTACCTAACATAACAGACCTGTTATGGAGTGTAGAATTTGCTGGAATAAGGAGAGCAAACACACCTAGCTTATTAACAGCAGGCATAGCTGGGAGGTCTGACAGGCCCAGTCTTCCATGCAACACCCAAATCCTGGATTTTATATCTTTCAATATCATAACTGTTCTCCTTCATGTAAACTGTTGGAATCTGGTGCAGCTGAAGGAACCTGAATAGGCAAAGAGGAGTACCCTTGCTCTGGAACAAGAAAGTCATGACTCCATTTAGAAAGACCATAGATCATTCTGGAAGCCCTGGGTTAAAGGACTCAAGATTGAGAGACCCAAGAAATTGTATATTCTCTGCCCCAAAACTGCCTAGCAAAGATAATAGCTCTTGTCACATAAGCCACATAAGCAATATTCAAATTAATGCTCACTGTGTCAGTAAGTTATGAGAATGTAAACAACCCCAGCACTCTGGGAACAACACTATTACAGTGGAAGGAATATGAAGTCCAGGGTGCTTTAAAAACAAAACAATGTTTTGACCACCATGGACGCAACAAGGCATTTACATGAGATGATGTGAATATTAAAGAGGCAAGGAGAGAGGGCGGGGCCAGGGTGACATTCAGGAATTCCAAGCAACTACCTGTTTTCGGTCATTCTTTATTAAGATAGGGTCTCACTATGTGTGGTGGTTTGAAAGAAAACAGCCCCCAAAGGGAGTGGCACTATTAGGAGGTGTGGCCTTGTTGAGAAAGTGTGACTGTGGGGGGCGGGATTTGAGGTCTCTTTCTCAAGCTTCACTCAGTATGACAGTCAGTCAACTTCCTGTTGCCTCTGAGTCAAGATGGAAGACTCTTAGCTCTAACACCATGACTGCCTGCATGTCGCCATGATGATAATGGACCAAACCTCTCAACCTGTACATGAGCCACCCCAATTAAATGTTCTCTTTATAAGAGTTGCTGTGTTTATGATGACTCCTCACAGCAATAAAAAACCTTAACAAAAATACTCTGTAACCCTGACTGGCCTGGAACTTGCTATGTAGGCCAGGCTAGCTTCAAACTTACAGAGGTCCTCCTGTCTCTGTCTCTTGAGTGCTAGGATTAAAATCATGGGCCCCCATCCCCAGCTTTATGTCTATGATAAGGGGAATGAGACAATCTTACATTGTATTTGAACTCAAGACAATCCTCCTGCCTCAGCCTCCAGAGTACAGGGGTGATAGGAGTTACACC